ACGCTGTCCTGCTCTGTTTCCTTTCTCTAAAGTTGGAGGAGCATGTTTTATCTTCAGTGTTCTTCCTTAGTTTTTACCCATCGAAGAAGACCAAGATGATTTATTATTATTATTATTATTATTATTATTATTATTATTATTATTATTATTATTATTATTATTATTATTATTATTATTATTATTATTATTATTATTATTATTATTATTATTATTATTATTATTATTATTATTATTATTATTATTATTATTATTATTATTATTATTATTATTATTATTATTATTATTATTATTATTATTATTATTATTATTATTATTATTATTATTATTATTATTATTATTATTATTCCAGTTTGTCTTTATGCCACTTGGCAAACATTTTTCACTCTGAGCCAGACCTTCACAGTTCATCTACCTAGGTTAGAAAATCTAATTGATGGGCTAACCCACCAGAAATGCCAAAGAACACCCAGAGGCCAGCATGCAACACAGCTGTAGGCAGGCATCCCAGGCTTCTGAGGAAGCCGACCTCACAAGAAAGCTAGGCACAGTGGCAGTGGTGTCATGGAAGGAAGCTACCACCCAGCCACACTTCATTCACTGTGACACTAAGGAAGGGCCACTGTGCCTAACTGTCCTACAAAAAAAGTAGTACTTAACATTGGCACAGGTGCCAATAAGGGGAAAGCAAGACAACCACCTGGGTATCAGTGCTTACATGTGTTCTTCCTTCCCGCTAGCCAAGAAATGCCTCTGTAACTAACAGAAGTTTGGCTGTTTATCTGTTTGATTGACTGTTTTTGAGAGAGGGTGTAGTCTAGGCTAGCCTTGAACTCTCTGTGTGATCTTAAACTATTCACCCCCCTTAGGATTTACTTCTTTTCCTACGAGTATATGATGCTTTACCTGCATAAGTGTGTGTATGCCTGGTGCCCACAGATATCAGAAGAGGACATTGGATCACCTGGACCTAGGGTTACGGAAGGTTGTGAACCACCATGTGGGGTCCTCTGCAAGCGCAACAAGTGCTCATGACTCTTGAGCCATCTCTCCAGCCCTGAACTTTTTATGCTGTGCTGGGGACTGAGCCCTGGGGCACCCTTCCCCAAGTCTCATCTTAAAAACCTGTCCTTTTGGTAAGAAGCTAGTCCTCTGATCTTGTCAATAAGCCATTTTAATACTGTTTAATACTTTTCCATAAGATGTGATGAAAATGATTTAAGTGACATAAGCAATAATTGATCGTTTCCCAGCAGAGAACTTTGTCCTGTGATTTCTAAGCACAGAATATTTCTTGGAGATCACTCTGAGAAGAATGCAGCTGCCCGGCCCATGCCTGAGCTGGGCTAACTGCAGGGCTGGCCACATCAGTGGCAGCCACGGAGCAGGAAGGTGGACCAACCTGATGCATTCCCAGCAGGTTCACACTCACCCTGGTGGATTCCATCACAGGATAACTTCGCCCTGTCAGATAGGAGGGCCGTATATACACTGTCTGATCTTCTCGAATGCACAAGTAAGCATCGTCATCACCCTGGAAAGCAAGCACATCATTTTAAGGAACCCCTAATCAAACAGCATTTGATACTTTTAAAATGTAATTGATTCAGCAGTAAATGATCTGTGAAGTCTGGAGAACCAGTTGTTTATTTGTGAGCTAAAAAATAAGGTTTTAGCTATGTATGGCTATGCACACCTTTAACCCCAGTACTCAGGAGACCGAGGCAAGCAGATCTCTGTGAGCTTGAGGCCTGTTGGCACAGCTACATCATAAGACCCTGTCTCAAAAATAAACAGCTGGAAGTGGGAGCACACCCTTCATCCCAGCCTGGGGAGGCAGATCTCTGAGATCTGAGCCAGGCTACTTTGCATAGCAAGTTCCAGGCCAGTCAGGGCTACACAGTGAGACCCTGTCTGAAAAGTTAATTAAGAATAAATGGAGCACCAAAATTCTAAAGTAATAGATCAAAACAGACATGTTGGAGGCAGTGTAAAACAACAGTAGAGCACTTACCTAGCATGTGAAAGGCCCTGAGTTGCTTTTTTTTTTTAAAGACATAGCATATCTTCATAGTCCTACACCCCACAAATGGATGCCACTGTTAGCACTTCCATGTGTATGGACTCAAACATTTGCATCTGTCTATTTCTTCCTTCTTGGGAGAAAACAAGTTCTGTTGCCTTCTTTTCACCTCACTGTGAGCACTGTATGAGAGACTGTCTTAATAATTTTTTTAAAAAGTACATGGGAGGGCAAACATGGGTAGCTCAATAGTACTGAGTACTTACCTACCCTGAATACTCCCCTCAACATTAATCCACAGAAAGGTCAGTATCTGGCAACATATTAGCATTCAAATCTTAACTTCTACAAATCATTCCTGCTAAAAAGAAACAGCTTATTTTGAAGAATGATGAAATATGGATGGAAAGCATCTTTTGACACCAAAGCAAA